GAGGGTTTATTTGTTTTGGCAGCAGGCTTTCCTCAATGTAAGCTTAACCAAATACGATAGTCCTAACATAAAATTTGAAGGACATCAAACTGCCCACATATGCAAATAATATTTTATTTTGCTGTTACCAGATTTATGTTTAAAAAGTAAACCTTGAGGGGAAGTAAACTCCACCTATTTCTGCGTTATTCTTAATTAGCACTTGGCTGCATTGGATATCTTTTTGGGAAGCTTTATTGAGTCAATTCTTAAGATCCCAAGACAGCTGGTGTTTGAGCAGTATGCAGAGACTGAGTGTAACAGAAGGTGTGTTCTGAGCCGTATTTGTCTGCAAGAATGTCCCGTGAGGATTTTGCATGGTGCCATTTTGTCTTTCAAGGCCTGGGTACCCCTCCTCCACCACTCCCACCCCACCATAGTTCTCCTTTCTTTGTTGGAATCAGAATGGAAGTCAGAGAAAGCTGAGTTATGGAAATCAGGAACAGACCAGTGCTAATGGCAGGCTGCGTGGACTGTGCTCTTCGTTTGTGTCGTAGGCTCTCTGGTCAGGAAATGATTTACGTTCTTTCATAACCTTGGTCAGTTTTAATCAATGCATGGAAAACCAGACTTAGAGAAGATCCTTTGGTCAGATCCTTTTAGGCTCGGAAGAGCTAAAAATACTCTCTGCCTTTTACTTGTTATTGCACCACAGAAAGCACAAAATCAGACTGTTGCCTTATGTTTTATTAGTGGTCATCTGTTTCTGTAAGACACCTTCAACTCTCTTATAGATCACTTTTTATGAAGGTTTTTTNATTGAACCTTTTTTTAACAAGTAAGTTATTATTGGGTTCCCAGAGCCCACGTTCTCTCACTGTGGAATAGCCTTGTATCTGGGCGATCAATTAGGGATGATTGGGAGGTGGAGTGCAATTTTAGATGAAATATTTCTCATCTCTAATGACTCAGATGTCTTTTGAAAATAGAAATTGACCGTTTGGGAAATGATTTATTAAATATATTGGTTAAAAAAAAGAAGGAAAGAAAAAACACTGCCAAAGATAGTGCATCTTTTCCAAGACAAAGAACCTGGTGGTTTTGGTGTGTCAATTACCTACAAGGGAGACTGTGTGTGTGTGTGTGTGTGTGTGTGTGTGTGTGTGTCTGTGTGTATGCGCGCACATGCAAACACACACACACACCTAACTTACCCCTAACAAACTTTACATGGGTGGTTATTATTTATGCTTGTATTATTATCTGATTAAATAATGTTGTCTCTAAGAAAACGTTGGTTATACAAATGACTTTTAAAATAATCTATGGAGCTTTGATTGTCCTTGCATCCTGAGCCATCATTCGAATGGACCTAGTGAAATGAAAGCTCGCGCCTGTACCTTCATTGTTGGAAGAAGTCAGTGTGACTTAGGGAGAAGTCTAAGTTCAGAGCATTTTCAAAGAATCTTAAGATTATTACTTCAAAGTGCCGTTTGTGCTTTCTTGGCACTGTTGAGACTAAAGTTATGGATGTGCTCCTGAAGCAGGCCACGGCTAGGCTCTGTGCCCGAGCCCTAAGCCTTCATCTTTACGCCCGCTCTCCTAGCAGGGTTGGTTCTAGGAGAGTCTGGGTGAGCCAGATAGAACAAGGCAGCCCAGAGCGAGCGCCACCACTGGGAGAAAGCACGATTTTGGTGTTGGGTTGGTTCCATCATTTGCTTACATTCTGTGCAGCACTTCACAGTCCTATCAGTGCTTTACCATCTCCTTAGGGTGTCTGTGTAAATAGTAGCATCGTTGGCTTGTACGTTGGTGACATCCTGCAGAGACAGATATCAATTCCAAACATCTGGCTTGCCACAGGTTTGGAATTTGTGCAGTCTGAGTGAGGGCAGGTCATCGTACTGTGGCTTCTTCTTGTTTGTTTTTTTTTAGTCTTTGTTCAGAAATAAATGTGTTTGACTTTCCAAATGTCTTTCAAAGTGGACTGGGTAACAATGTGGTGTATACTAGAAATTACGTTGAATTTTTCTGCATGGGAAATTAATTCTGCTAATGATGGCGTCCTTGCCATCTATCCGGTCCCTTATGGGTAAAACAGGATTTTCTTAGTTCTTAACTCTTATTTCGGGGGGCAGTGTGCACCTTTGTAAATCTTTGGAAGGGCAGTTTATGTCATAGACCACAGAACCTACAGGTGACACTAAATATTGTTTAGATGATGGTCATTCCTTACATTTTTACGTGCGTGATGTTAAGTTCGTTTGTTCAATATTTTCCAACTGTGAGATACTTATTTGTAAATATTGAAAGTAACGATCCTATTCTTTATGAAATCAACAACTTATAAAATCAGGTGATGGATACAAACTGGATTACATATAGGCAGCACCTAGTTTATCAGTAATCTGTGTGACTAACATAGACAGCACTCAAAATAAGCTCTGATTCAGTAGCTTAAGTGAGACTTTCTATATTTC